TTGGCCGATAGGATATTCCCTTTATTCTGGCCTGGCAATAGCTAATGTTTGAGTCTCAACTGGGAAAAAATTGATTGGTTTTGTGATCAAGGAAAATGACAGGATATCAGGAGATCTGAGTTCTAATTGCAGCTCTGCCACATACACGTGTGACCTTGGCTGAGCAAATCACAACTTTTCTGTCTCAATCTTCTCATGTAGAAGATGTGGATAATGATTCCTATCTACGTCATACCTTAGTTCACCTTAGTGGCAATCAACTGCAATGGTGATGAGTGCAGGATGGTTAAAAGGGCCATTCTGCTGATACAAAATGGCATAGAAAATGGGAGAAGGAAAGAAGTGCAGAAGTTTGTGCCTATGACCACTAAGCTTCTTTAAAGAAGATCAAGCATATGCTCCCAACTAGTATGTAGCTGCCTGGGATCCTGACCGCCAGCCAGCCCCAACTTTAACATTGGCCACCAACTAGCCTCAATCCTATAACCCTGTGCCAGCTGTGGCATGCCAGCAGGAACAACTGGATTCCTTTCCTAGTTTTCTCCTGAGTGCCCTGTAAGCCTTCTGACTACCACATGGACACATGGAGGAGAAGGAGGAAAGAGGATATCTACACACACTTGCCTTCTCCTTCCCATACAGGGTAGTCAACACAAGGGACAATTTGACCCTTGACAGGATATTCTACTAAAGGCGATGCCACTGTCTAAAAACAGTCTAGTGTCGCCTATCAGAACACTGTTTTTTAGATCTGGCTTGCTGCTAGCATAGCAAGTCAAAGTAGATCAATCTTGATGTTGGAGAGCATTTATACTGAGGTTGGTACTACATAAAGAAAAAAATGGAGCTGCATGGGAAGGAACTATGAATAAAAGAGGACTTTATAATATCTACCTTATGACAGTCGCCTCCAGGGATAACTTCTTGAATATATACCAAGGGACCTTCATTTCTGTTAATTCCTCCCACAATGTTCAAGCCCAGGCCTGTTCCCTTGGAAACAGTGATAATCTGAAATGCACTATCACTAGGAGAAAAAAAAAAAAGAAGAAGAAAATTAGCATTAAAAGGTCAGTTACACAGTCTGTGGAGCTTGAAAAAAGCAGCAATGAAGACCCATGTGCAATATTTCTCTTGTTGGTTTCACATAAGTGTTGCAACAATTAGTTTGACATAAATGGCTGACATTTAATCAGGAGATTCATACAGTCCACATTCTACTCAATACAAAATTACTAATTTCAATACTAATTTAAGCAATTACAAATAGGATGTCAAGTTAAACTAAGCATTAAAGCAGTGCTATATACACTGATAGAATTAAAGTGTGTCTAATTCTCTATTTCATTAGAGACATTACCATATTTCTAGGGATCTGAAAGTAATCATAAAAATGCATTCAACTGGAAAGTTTCACGTCACCTTTCTCTTTTTAAAATCACTTTAAATAAAAGTATTTTGTGTTCTTGTGTAAATCTAACTGCAAGGCTGTCTTGCTGTGTGTCTATTCCATCTAAAGTCCCCCCCCCCCCCCCATGATGGGGTGTCCACTCCACATAAGGCCAGAAGGGGTTAAGGTAGCTAGGTAGGCCAATTAACTGCCTGGGCTGCACCTGGAGGAGCAGCCAGGGAACAGGTATTAATTAGACATGAGGCTCAGATGGACAGGAACAGGAGGGACCAGGAGCTCAGAGCGGAAAGGGGACTGCAGGGGGTAGTCTGCAGTCACTCCCTGGGAGGAGGGAGTTTGCACTGGAGAGGCAGAAAGGTAGGAAAGCGCAGGGGAAAAGCAGCAAGGTGTGGGATAGGGCAGACCTTGGCTGCTGAGCTGGAACCCAGAGTAGAGGGCGGGACCGGGCTCACAGACAAGGCAGTGGGTAGTGGACAGCCTGGGACAATTCGTGCTGGAAGGCTTTAATGTCCCGGAAGGGGGAAAACATGCCAGAGGGCTAAGTCATAAAGAGGAAGCAGGAGGTCCTGGAGCCTGCAGATTGAGAGAGAGAGAGAGGAGTGCAACCACTGGAAGGGGCATTGACCTGGCACAGCTAATTCCCAGAACTGCCAGGAGGTGGTGCTGTCACACCATCCACAAAACTGTTACAGCATTTTTACTGCTTACTGTTTTCCAGAAACTTGGTATACATATTTTTCAACTGCCTCAGTTCAACACAAGCATTTTTATAGATCTGTTTATATATACACGTTAAGATAGAACTTGTTTCAAAAAGTTGTTAGAGAAAAGTACAGGGAGTTAGGACTCCTGGATTCTAGCCCTGGTTCTGCCACTGACTCACAGTGTGACCTTGGATAAGTTGGCCAAAATTTTCAAACCTGGATGTCTGAAGTGAAGCAGCAAAATAAATATGGCCTGACATTCCAAGGAGCTAAGCTTGTGAATTTAGGACATGTATGCCATGCCTACCTTTCTAGCTTCTAGTGAATTCAACTGAATAGGCAACCAATATATTTTCATGTTTTTCTCTTTTTTGGCTTTTTAAAAAATTATTATTATTCGATTGGCAGCCCTCCTGCAGTGTTTGCAACCCAAGCATTGTGACAATCTGCTAGTGTACGTGAATCAGAACCAAAAACTAACTAGGAGCTGGGTAGAAATGACTGTAAACCTGATCAGCCTAATTTCACCAAAATGAACAAAACACAAAAAACTAAACAAATGGCACCAAATGGCCAAAATAAGTTAGTTTTAAAAATTCTTTCAGTTTTAACAGTCAACGGTGTTATTAGTAACATGATTTTTAAAAATACAATCTTTGTAGCCCTTTAGTGAGCTCCACCCAAAATATTCATAAGCACCTAAACACAACTACTTTTGACCAAGGAAGTTCAGAGAAGATAGCTAGAGTCAGTTTCAGGAATTACTTTGTGAGTTGCGGGGATGTTGTGGTAACAGAATTATTTCCATTGTAGCTGATGACAATATCTTTTGGACGCAGAAGCTGAGGACTTTGTGACCTTGAGGATGATCCAGAAGAAAGGCTGTCAACAGGTTTTCCTTAAAGAAAGAAATAGTGAGAAAAGAGAAATAAAAACCACATTCAGGGAAGGCAAAGTGTTTCATTGACATGTAACATCAATTTCTGTGAGTCTTGCTCAGGCAAATAGTTCAGTACATGTCAGGAAGAGGAACATGCTTTTTCCCCATGAACTTAAGCTAATAAACTGTTCTAGTTCTGGTAAACTGAATCATTATGACCAAGTCTTTTATTATTAATTTTGATATTGAATATAATAAAAGTGTCTCTGGTATTGAGTGTTTTTCCGAGCAAGCATTTTAGGCTTCTGTGCAATATCCAGCTTGTCACGAGATCCAGCATTTTGGAAGTCTTGTAATCAGCCATATCCAGCCTTCTGGATAGTAGGAAAAGATTGGGAGGGAATGAGTGTGATCTGACCCCCTCCTTTTGGCTCTAGGAAGGCAATATTTAGCACCTGGGTTCATTTGATAACATGTGCACTTGATTTGAAAAATCAGAATAATAGGACGCTGGAGTTGAGAGCAGATACAATACACTGTATCAGCTGCTGAAAATAACTTATCCTTGCAGTGCTGGATTTATCCCCTCTGCCCCCTCATACTCCAAAATCAACAGCTCAGGTGTTTCACCCCACTTTCCCAGTCCTTCCTTCCTTCCATCCTTAGAGAGGAGCCCATAAAAGAAATCTTTTGTCAAAAGGACAAACAAACCCACAAAGAAGCCTGAGGCTACACAGCTTCAGAGTGGGAGCTAAGTCAAGCACTCAGGTTTTCAGAAACAGACATCACTTGCTGACATGTGAAGACTGGCCCTTCAAATGAAAAGAGTGAGTGAAGCAAAATAATCTTATATCTACCTTTCTTAAAGAGGAAGGTAGATGAAGTATATAAATCATCCTTAACCAGTGCAGCAACCCCAAATGGAGTGTGAAGAGTTACAATCTCTCGGGTATCAACACTTTGCAACGTTAACACACCTTTCATCAGAGAATTTCATACCATTTTATAAACCATTCATTAATTAAAACCCTTTGAGGTAGGTGATACAATATAGATGGGGAAATAGACATGGAAAAGTTAAGTGACTTGCCCAAAATCACAAAGTGACTTAATGCTCAAGTAATGAATGAACATAGGAGTCCTGCCAGACTCCTAGTTGCCTGCTCTACTCACTAAACCATACCCCCCCTCCCCGTCCCACCCCTCCACCCTACATCTTTGAAGTGCTGGTTTACATTTCATACAAGGATGACTATAGTGTTCTCCAACATTATTTCAGGCTATCAAGCATTCTCTACTACTTCCTTATAGTGCAAAATGTAGAAATATTCAGTGCCTCACCACTTAGCAGTTGTGTTGGTGAACATCTTGCAGAGCCTGTGTTACTGCATGATCCATATTTATCCATCAGATCTAGAAATTCTTTCCTATAATAATTAAAAATACCTTTGTTTTTTATTTATTTGACTTCAGTTACAAATGCACCCTTGGAGACCACGTACGCTGCCACTTGTTTAGAATGTGTGTCTCACATTTTCCTCTGAACACCCAATTTCCCCAGACCACAGTGTGAGTGTACTAAAGGTCAGATGGCTCAACACCAGATGAAAAACGACGTTTTTGTCAGATATAAAAATACTGAGAACAGATAAGTGAAAGAGTAGCACGATATTGAAGGACAAGCACAGAGGCTGATGACAGTCTATAAATAAGATGGGCTGGTTACCACAAGGTACAGAGGTTTAATTACTAGCTCTATTCACCCTGGTTTGCAAGTGCCTCTGAAGCAGCTCAACAGTGACCCCTCTGGATGATGAGAGACTGGTGCTGCTTGATTCCAAAAGTAGTTATTCGCTAACAGAAATTCTATGCATAGCACAAGGGTAAAAAGCTTTTGTTCTAGCTTTGTTATTTATTCTGAGACACAATATTTGATACATAATAGAAGGATGAAAAGCACCTGAAACCTGTTTTTGCTTTTCCTACACAATAATAAATCAGATTTCTTTCATAGGATTTATATACATCTGAATTCTCTCATGTCTATTCAGGGATTCAACATTATAAAGACAGCCTTTTCTTTGCTTGCTCCACTGGAAAAGCCAGTGAGCTCCTATTAGCTTTTCTGATTGTTGCTTTCAACATTTTGTCTGATCAAGTGCACTACTTTGAAACATGAAATGTGACAATGTCTATTTTTCTGTCATAACAGAGCAAGCTGGCAGAGAAAGACTAGTGCTGCTTTTTCCTCCTCGACCACCTTCTAACATGTCCAAAGAAGCACAGCCACTTCACCCAAGTGGTCAAATGACTCATTGGCTCTCCATTTGTTTCAGGATCCAGTTAAAGTTGCATTGGGTAATTTAAAACCCTTCTGAGGACTCCTTCTACCACAACTCAGGACTCATACCCCACATTACTTTCCTTTCTGCTCATCTAGCACTACTTTCTTCTCTACCCCACCACACAACCTTGCTACCAATGGTTAAAGACCCTTTTCCACAGCAGCTCCTGCCCTAGGCAGATGTTTTTATCTCTCCCTATAATTCCAAATATTAGCTGAATAACTTTCTCCCTTGCACATACCTCTTCAGTTTCTTTCTCCCGCAATTTTTTACCTCTGCAACTGAATTAATTTTGTACAACTGCAGGATGCAAGTTGTACAAAAGACCCTACAGGAAAGGTAGCGGTTTTCTACAATATTATATTAGCAACTGAAATGTCTTATTCAGCAAGTAGTTGTCTAATTTAATAAATAGCTTACACAGTCCAACAAAGGATGAGAACACAAGAGGGAGAGTTGACACTGCATTTGGAACTAAAGTGTGATAGAGTCTTCTTTACATCTAGAATTTAGGTAGCATCAGAAATCCTTCTATGGCCTTGTTTCAGGGCTGTTGTGCACCAAAAAGAAAGAAAACATTCCCAGAGACACAGACTTGACCACACAGTCACCATCAATGGGTAGAAATTGTTTGTAGGGCTTTCAGGATTCAAACTGACACCAATTTTCTAACAGTCTCCAGCTGCCTTTGTTCCATGCAGTACAAGCAGAATATTCAAAAAAAATTTGGCAAGTAGAAATCACACAAGATAGATCTTATGTTTCCACAGAGCTCTCTGTCCTGGTTTCCAGTCAGCACAACCAATTTACCTCTCTCTTCTGAGAGAAACATACCTTTCTTTTAAGGTGCTGGGCCTTAATAGACTGAGCTGCAGGTAACTTCCTAACTCCCTGAGCCACCTCTGAACACTAACCAGGAATTCATAGATTCATAAATTCCAAGGCCAGAAGGGACCATTGTGATCATCTAGTCCAGGGGTC